ATTTTCCTTCGTCAACGGCCAGAGTGTGACAGAGCTGTCATAATAACGCGACTTCAATCACAGGCCGCTCTGGGTAAAGATCAGGATCACCGCGGTTCAACAGCTGGATGCCTATTGCCTAAGTTACATAACAGACGTAGGAAATTGTTCTTGTCACCCCCAAAAATTGTTGAATTTGAATTTCCTTAGCAGATAGCCGAGACACTCATAATATAAAGGCGCTTATATCGGTGACCATTTCCTTAATTTTGTCGTTTTTAATCACAGTCAACAAAATCGTTCCGTGGCGGGATTAAAAATGTTGGCCGTTTTACATGGATTCAGTCCGACTTTATGATCGCTGGGCTGGGACGTCAGTTACAACAAAGACAAATGGTAAGTGAGTAGGAGCATTGTATGCACATCATGATGCATTGTATTCCGGCTTGACATTTGGTGCCATCGAAATCACGGGAAATGACGTAACCACCCCATCCGCAATCGAACACTAACCATGAATCGAACGCCACCATTGTTGTCTTTGTTCACAGCGATAATGAAAAGTAACCACCAGCTATGTGCAGATCCGCTTACCGTCAGCGAAAATGTTCAAAGGTTGATTACAAGTTCCTTGACATTCATAGAGAGCAAAATTCGTCCCATTCCATGTGTAAAATGAAGAAAAGATAAAGGGGAACATGGGCGGATCCAGAAAGGCGACCATCGACGCTGCGGGGCATATCTTCAAAAAAGTTATCTCTTACGAGTTATCTCGTAAGAGTCAAAGTTATCTCGTATTTCATTTCTTCGTGTATTGTAGTGCAAAGCAAACAATAATGTTTTCAATCATGCTCGCTACCGCAATGTGGCTTTAGTTCCACAACATGGCCCAGATACGTAAATAATTTCGGTCCCACAACAAAGAGCACCTGCCGGCTCACACCACCAGCTCCCGTCCTGACCTGACACAGGACCGAGGTGTGTCATGTTACCGACCACGCAGCCTGTGGCTAGTGATATACGAGTACCACCGAGGCGAGCGATACTGCGATCAAATGACATACACGGTGTGTTTAGGGCGATCGATGCGAGTTATTGATATTCAGCAGGCGCGCGGAGTAGGTATCGGTCGATTAATTGAAATGGAGCGGTTCAGAATAAGACGTAGCGACTGAAGGAATAAAAAAGAAAGAGATAAAAAGACGCGTAAGAGAAAGATGACCCCCTCATAAAACCAGACATCCTCGGAAATATGAATGAAATATGTTGTAATATATGAGCACCTTGGGAAAGAATGCTCTTCTCAGAACACTAAAATACGACGAACACGAACAGATTTTAGGCTTCGAAGCGTTAAGCCTATAGGCCGTGTGGGCATATATGCCCACATGGCGCAGTTGGCTTCGTCGTGTTGTCGCGTGCCCGACGGTCGGATACCAATCGCTACTTCAAAAGAGCCGACACACTACGGGACAAGTGCTTCACTAAGTTTTTCGGTGCCACTAAGTTTTTAGTGGCATCGAAAAAACACTAAGTTTTTCGGTAAATGGACGCTGTACGGTGCCGCGGAATACTGCAATCAGGAATGTGTAGCTGTGTTACATCACACTAATCACATGACATCAACTGTTCAGAAAACGCCTCGTTTTGTGCCACTATACTTGACTTTTAAAATCAGCGATACAGGACCACGCATTAATCATGCTTGAGCAGTTTGCTAGTGAAGGATAAAGCACCAGGCGCATGCTACTGTGATGCCTACTGCCTAGTCGGTAGGCAACAATCCCTCAAAAACACTGAAGTGGTCGTATTGAACAATATTCTCACCATCAGGCATCAATTGAACCAGCTCTCAAACGTTTCTTATTCCCTTATCCCCTGTTGAATCTCAGGAGAAGCAACCGCCTATCTTTCTTCCCCTCGCCATTAATCTTTGAGGTCATTCATGAAGGCGAGTGCCGGCGGCATAGGCGCCAGAATGGCGTGCAGTTGTTGTCCATGCTACTCACTGAGCGGGGCATGGAGACACTGATGTAACCAACTGCTCGAGGAACCGACAGGGGCGAGGGCGGCGCCCGGAAGCTCACCGTTCAGCCGTCAACGCTCCAGCCGCGGTCTGAGTGGCGGTGCAGCGGAAGGTGGGACGATTGGGAGCGTTGAATGGAAGGGTACGGGGTGGCGAAACGGATATCCGGCGAGGCTACCGCGAATCAGAGGGCTGCATCAGGAACTGGTCCGACAGGCTACTGATCAGTTGCGATCAAACAAACACATCTACACCCGTTAAACCCACTGGGAGAAGTGTACTCGTATCTTGGCCTAATTGGACCAATCATCTGCGAACAAAAAGACTGGTTTGAATTCAGCTCAAACTTCCGCTGCCGCTGGGTTAGTAGGTCAGCGCACAGACAAATTATACTTCCCCGAGATAAAAATTTAACCCGTCGTGAAAACATTTTTTACCGCCTAAACCTTGGCAGCTCGGCAGAGCCGTTGTCTTCAGGGGGACAAAAAGATTGGCGGGTGCCAACGGAGCGATATCGGCTGGCGGGACCCGCATTGCCGCCGACCAAACCGGTCTTGGTTGAAGAGAGGGCCGCTAAAATGCAGATCAGAGGGGCGACAGAGTGCCAACTGCACAGCGATGAGCTGGGACCGTTCTCTGAGCATGATGGACAGACAGCGGATGGAGCCGGCCGAGCGAGGTCACGTCATGTCTTCAGAGGTCAGCGGGGAGCGCACGACTCGCGAACACAAGCGCACCTCTAATTTCTGGACACGATAATAACGGGGGTGGAAGTCCACCAGCTTCCGTCCGAGACCAATACGAAGTGACCCAGCTCAAGGAGACAGGTGACGAGCTATACGGCCTTCTACGTCGCTGTTTGCTCTCTTGTTTGGCACGATGATTCTCGGACACTTCAAACAAGGCTGAACATGGCGTTGCTTGAGCGGAACCAGTCGGCTCCTCTGATGTTGCAGACTTGTTGAACGTGCAACGGCAGCTGTTTGCCCTTGTCTTCAATACCATGGCAAGGCCGTTACGAGATATTGGCACCTTCGCATAAACGTTACGAAATGGTGATTCTGAGCCAATATCCATGACGGATTTGCTAGCAGACATTCATTTTATAATCGGCTACATTTCATGGCTTTGCGAAACCGAGAAAATGCATATAGCTGTCAACGTTACGGAGGAGTGGAAGCAAAGTGGAAAAGGATCGAAATTAAGGCCATCGTGATATTACTCTGCACCTGAAGCGCGTACGTTTTAGGGTATATCAATCAGAGGTGTGATTCTTTGTCGATTTTTTACGCACTTGCAACTTAAGAGTAGCTTTAACCATCGGAACCGAAGTGCAGGGTCCAAAAGAGAGTCTACACTCGTATCAGTGGACAGAGGACGATATGAATCACGCTCCGAACATCCGAGTGGAGTTGTGTCTGCACAGTGTCAGATCAAAACAAACCGACCAATCAAAACAGGCCACCCTTAGCGCCACAGACGGCAGTCGTCGGCCGGGAGCGCTGAGTCCTATGTAGTCTGTGAGTTACGGTTAATTCCAACATTGATGGCGCATAAATAAAACCATGGAACGAATCTGTTCGTTCGAAGAAAACATGCTCGAACTAAGAAGTACTATTTTTATGATACAGAAAATGAAGAGGGCTGGTCGATAACGTTTTGCCGATCCATCACGTTCTACTTAAAGTAACAGCACTCATGCCCAGTGACCTCCAAAGACCAGGCTTTCCACAACACACTAATTGAGAGCCCCGCCAAAGGCCAACATTCTGGCCCAGTTATCGGCCAAAACAGACCGTCCCGCCCCCGCACCTGTCCAGAGTTGAGAACACCCTGAGGCTCATGAGTCAGATGGATGGTGAAATTTAGCCGCCGTATAAAAGCGGGAGCAGCGCCAGACATAACAAAAGACTCGAGAATAGAGTGGTCCCAAAACACACGGACGATACTAGGCCAGCAATCATGTTTGTCGGCCTCAGCCCTCAAAGCCCCCAAACAGCTGTATATAGAAATGAAAAACACCATACGGACATAAAATAGGTTCGGGCTTACAATAACATTAATTAAGGATTACTTACGCATATGGATCACTGAAAAAAGTTTTGCAAAAAAAAACATTATTTCGTATTACCTGTGCACCGAAACACCGGAAAGATACAACTAAATATTTTTCGCTTTACAACGCTTCGCTTTCCCTTTACAATAGAGGTGGCAAAATGTGGACCCGAGGACCCGGTCCAAAGAACCAGTCTGGACCCATATGGGTCCAGACCGGTTCCAGGAAATTTTCTGTCGGGTCCAACCGGGTCCTTCCATAAACTATACATATTGCACACTACACATTATTGCAAAATATGAAGTGAAAGAAGTGAATGTTTCTTTGCACACAATAGCTCGTGAGTATTCCCAGTGGGAAATAGGCTGTTTTACTTGATGCAACTAACGATACCTACAAGTAGTTTGTATTAATTGACTTTTGGGGAACGGGTCCAACTGGTTCCGATTCCAACTAAGACCGGGTCTGACTGGTTCCAGAAATATCCAGCCGGGTCTGGTTCGAGTCTGGTTCCCAAAATTTTCATCTTTTGCCACCTCTACTTTACAACGACCTAGTCCTAGTTATACCGACTACGCAAGCACAGTGAAAGATCGACCTGGTGACCAGCGGGTCAAAAAGCACGTGCTCTTCTCTGTTCATTCCCCGAATAAATGCTTCACTATGATTTTATAGCGGAGGTTCGTGTCCGACTCCGTGGACTAGGGTCACAACCATCATAAATGTCATGCGGCAATTTTTACGACCATCGTCGTTCATTGTTCCGTAGGAATGTCTGTAGTCTACTCCCATGGAACTAGCTGGAGACATTAATTGGGGAAGAGCCTGTAAATGTGTCAGCAACTACAATTGTTCGGTTTTCACCGATAACTAGCCACAAATTATCTACGTCCTCGTCCGTCCCACACATCGGACAAACTACGCATTTCGGTGACTTACCTTTCCGGTGCCTGCACCTCCCTGTTGTTCCTCTGAGCCGGCCTCCTCTCTGAAAAGAAAACGAGGCATTTTGTGATGGTGAGGAGTGTCACTTGACAGATGATCAGGCATGCCGGTTGTGACTAACTGCCGTACTGGAGCATATAGTGAACGGCGTCCTTTTGGCGACATTAGGAACTGGCACGCTCAGTGTAACGTTTATCTGTAAACTCCCTCCTAGGTAGGACGTTTGTTGCTAGCAACATACATAAGTAGTAGCAGAACAAAATGATTGATCAGAAAGAAACACAGCTAACCTTGCGTTCGGTTCGTGAATGGCAACGTCGGAAGGATCGACCACCGCGGCATCTAGCCGAGGCGCGTCGCCTGCAGTGCTGCCATCTTCTGACGAGTCGGACGAACCAGAGCCGCTCGATGATGACTCGTCTGCGAAACGACCAATAATCACGCATAAAATCGCTGCGAGAAGTGATGACACATATTCCGCTCCAGTTTCGTATTCACTTTAAAAGACTTAACAGCAAAAGAGCAGTATCACAAGTTCAACAGAAGATATCAAACTAATAAACGGAGTGCGAGCAGTCTGGGGTCATCACTCATAGTATGAGAGACCAGCAGCTCTTGATCCCTGGCATAACATACCTGAATGCTTCGACTTCTCGGCTGCTGCTGCGGCTGCTGCCTCTGCGACGGACCGCTCGTGAGCCGCCGCCTCGGGAGAGGTCACACCGAGCACCTCGTCAATATTGGTCATCTGACCTGAGGGCAGCCGAGGTTAGCAAAGGTCATCGAGATGGCGAGAGAACAACATTTTATTGGCAGTCAATGGCATAACGAGAGAACGGCGATGGACGCTGACCAATGATTTAAAATTGAGAAAAAAAGACATCAAAACAGCTACTAATAAAGCTTTATTAAGAACAGCCTAAGCTGCAGCTAATCGTCAAAGGTCACATGTATCGCGGTGTCGCGTGGTCCGATGGGCTATGAGGGACGTCGAACACCCGCAGTGGATACGACGGTGTCATGTTCGGCACACAGCCACCGCGAAACCACGAGTAATATGATCACCCCGCCCCGGTCACCTAACACGGGGAAGGCATCGTATAAAAACAGAACCGTCGGCCACCGCAGTTGCGTAATGGAACCGCAGGACAGACAGTAAACATAGACGGTGAAACGCACCGGGCGCTTTTCACTTACCACAGAGGACAAAAAGGGTGAGGCCTGGTGGCTGACTGGCTATTTAGGTCCGCCGTCAGACAGAAATTACACCCGCACAGGAGTAGAAAAGGCAAGCATACGATGCATTCGCATGCATGTCGCATTAACAATGAATGACAACATTGCTTCATTTCAATTTATTGCCGCAGCCGTCTATGAAGTACTAACAGCAAATGGGTGATGAGCGACGCATAATAAAAATTGAGAAATAAAAAGAAATCAAATTCGTTTCATTGGTTTCATTTTTCTAATAGCCGGTTCATAATGAAGAAGTCCACTTTTAAAATAGGTCTGCATCAGAACCTAAAAATACGAACACCCCCCCCCCCCCCAATCCCCGTGTTTTCCAACTCACTTATGAACAGGGAGAGGTTGCGTTTGGCGGCGCGTCGCTCCTCCTCGCTGGGGCTGAGGGCGGCACACGGGTCGGCACACTCCTGTCCTTCCGGCTCGGCCGTCGCGCTGGTCGGTACCTCCTCACTGGCCACAGCGCGCTCGAACTCCTCGAACGACTCGGGCGGCGGCCCGTCCACCGGCAGCAGCGCGTCAATGTCCTGGCAGGCGCCGATGAAACTGAGTGCCTCCGTGGAGCCGCGGTCGGCGGTGCCGTACCCCGAGTCTCTCTGGCACGGCTGGAACACAAAGTCAGACGCTAGCACCACGTCGGCAGCGGCAGCGGCGGCGGCCAGCGCCGAGGCAGCGACGGCCGCCGAGGACCCGGACTGAGTCGCCGAGGAGCCCGTGTCGTCGTCACTGCCCGCCGCCGGTACCATGGACAGTGAGAAGCGCAGGTCGGCGTCGGAACGCGCGGCACCCTGCTCCTCGTCAGCACTACTCTCCTCAGTGCCGACGTCCTGGTAGACAGACGAGCCAGAGTCGGAGCTCGAGCTCTCCGTCTCTGTGGAAGAGCTCACAGACTCCTGAGGACCGGACAGGGCCGACGGCACCGGCTTGGAAAGTCGCGCGTCGACGTCAGCCGCACTCGGTCGCGACTCGCTGCTCGATTCGTCCTCATCGTCGTCATAGATGCCGAGCATTTCGTTGGCGGTTCGGAATCGAACTGGTGCCGGCGATAGAGAGGCCGGCGGCTGGCGGAGTGGGGGCTCAGCCTCCTCCCCAGTATCATCCTCCCACCAGGCGCGAGGCTCGGACAGGTTTCTCCGTACGGGAAACGCCTGGAAGCGTGGATCCACCTCCGGTTCCGCGTCCGGCGTGAGCTCCTTGTGAGCCGGAGCATCTTCGTTGAATTTATTCTCGCTGAGATCCCACCAGACAGCGGCGCTGGAGTCGACAGGCCGTGGGACGTACGCGGGGTTGTCCTGCACTGTGCCGCCCGTCGAGAGGTCTAGGGAGTCCCTTCTGTTGGTGTCCTGGTTTCCGGGTAGCGCTGAGTCTAACCGAAGAGGGTCTGCTTCGGCCCCCGCCGTATCTGCCGCAGCAGTACCAGAGTTCACGTCCTGTGTGGATGAGTTGTCATCCTGTGCCCACCATGGCTTAGTCTCCGAATCAAACCGGCGTACTGGGTAGTAGGCTGTCCTCGGGTCGGCGGCAGTTGTGTTCCCTCGGTCAAACGTCCAGAACGATCCCTCCTCGGCCTGTGAGGACCGCCCCGAGCTCAGACCGTCCCTGGAGCTGTGTCGAGAGCGCCGCTTGTCCAGCAGCTCGGCCGACCCGGGCCGGGAGCGGTCGGTGCCGCCAGCTCCCCGCGGTGGTTTGCCGATGTCTCCGTTCGAGCGGCGCACGTCATTAGCGGACCGTTTTCTCCTCAGTCGACGCTCCACTGACGCCGCTGAGCTCGTCTCGTCCTCTGAATCTGAGGAACTCGACGCAGCGGCAGCGGCAGCGGTTACACTGCGACGGGAGGCCTCCCGGGAGATAGCTCTCCGCGAGCCGCTGCTTCGGACCGACAGTAGTGAGCCAGTCCGGTCCGCGCGTCGGGCCGAGACGGAGCTCCCTGAGGCGGCGTGGCGCACCGCTGGACGGCTCGACGATCCGCTGTCACTGCTGCCTGAGGTCGTCCTGGAATGTGTCTTGGGCAGCACGCGTCTCTCGTCGGCACTGCTACTGCTGGTGGCACTGGTGGTGCGCGCACTGCTGCTGGTGTCCCGCCGGCCGGCCGCCGCGCCGCCTCTCGCCACCGCCGCGCCACGAGCGGAGCTCCTGGACGGCGGCCGCGCGGGGTCGGCGCGGGGGAGATTCGACCCACTCGGACCCCGACTCAGCCTCCCACGACTCGACTCACGGGAAAGATTACCAACACTCGAATCTCGTGACAACTGTCCATGACTTGGTCCCCTGGTGGGTGTTTTTACCGCACCCTTTCCACGACCGGTGGCTCCTTCTCCGTCACTGGTCTCACTGCTGCGCCGACCAGCACCGGACGAGCTCCTACTCAGAGTACGACCTACTCTCCGCGCTCCGCGGTCCCGCACCGTCACCGCATCACCGTCCGCCATGTTCACTGTCGACTTCCTGAAGTCCTTGTTGGGTCGTGGCGGCAGTGGCGAGCGGTGAGGCGAGGGAGTTGTTTGCGTGGGAGAGCGCGGTGGTACTACCGATGAAGAAGCAGTCGAGGCAGCAGAGGTAGCGGGAGCTGTAGAGGTAGCTGGAGTGGTAGGACTTGTCGTCGTCCTGGCACTCCCCGGTGGCTGATATGGCTTCGGAGCCGTCACCAGCAGATGATCCATGCTCTCCAGAGGTGATTTGGCTCCTTTACTGCCGTGCGCATCGCCTGCTGGTGAGGTCACTACACTCTGTTTGGTCGGGGCAGCCGTCCTGCTCGTCCCCACCGCCGTCTGCTCCGCCTCGCGTCTCGCCCGGTCCCGCTCCAGATCAGCCGCCGTCTCCGCCGACATGGCGTATGTATTCGATGGCTTCTCTCGCACCAGATATTTCTTGTGCGACTCAAAATCAAAATCTGACGGCTGGGGAATGGCGGCGTTGGTCTTGGCCGCGACCTTGGCATAGCCGGGAGAGTAGCCGCTGGAGAGAAACCGCAAGGGTCGCTGCTCTGGCTGGGCTCCTGATGGTGTTGATGACGTTTTGGCTGATGCTGACGATGATGTAGACGTCACTGTTGATGGAGATGACGTAGACGCTGTCACAGCTTTCGACTGCGTCGTCGCCGCAGAAGTTGTCGTTGTAGTTGTGGTACCGGTGGCGGTGCTCGTTGAAGGCTTCTCGTCCTCCGACTCCGATGAACCCGAGGACGAGTCCTCCTCAGACGATGAGGACGATGAAGTTGATGATGAGGAGGAGGACGGTTTCCGTGCAGGGGTGACAGTGGATGTTCGTGGAGTGGTGGGAGGGGAGAGGGCGGCACTGGCGGCTCGGAGGCTGCTCACAGTCACCACTGGCGACCGGGACGAGAGTGGAGATTTGGTCTGAGGTGCCACAGGGGACTTGGCCTTTGAGGCGGCCGCTGAACCCGTTTGTGATCCCACTGACCCCGCCTGCGACGCTGCCGTCGGCCGGGTCAGCAGAGACGTCGGTCGCGCCGGCCGGACATCCCCAGCAGCAGTAGATGACGCCGGAGTTTTGTCTAAATCAGCTGCAGTCGGCAGTGTCTTAGTCGTCGCCTTCCGCTGGTAGGGCTCCTTCTCCGGCTCTTTACCAATCGCCTTCAGGTAGGCCATCCTCGCCGAGGAGGCCGGAGGGGCGTTCCGCGACACCCCCAGCCGATTCCAGCGATCACCGTCCGCGGAACTATCATCACCCTTCCCCGCCGCAGCCTTCCCAATGCCACCCGTCGTCGTTCTCAGGTAGCTCTGCTTTCCGTCCGTTTTGGAGTCACCACTGCTCTCCCCGGCTCGCCTACTGAGGTAGCTCGCTTTGGCCTCCTTGGGCTCAGCTAGTCGCGACCCGAAGCGGCTCTGGTAGCCTCCGGAGGCGGCGCCGCTCGTTCCAGAGCCGGTGTCGCGGTCCGCGCCGGCACGGGAGGTCGCCGAGGAGTAGCGAGAGGCGTAGGACGGTGTGTCGGACTCTGTACGAGAGGAGGAGCCGGCTCGACCAGTCCGGTCGGAGGTGAGACCGCCGCCATACCGGTCCCGGGACTGTGACCTGGGGGAGAGAGGGGTCAGTGAGAGGTCACTCAGGTCACTGTCGAGCTTAAATGACAAGGACAATTAATGACCTGTTGGAGCGATAGGTGAATGAAAAGGGCTATATAATAGTATAATTACGAGCATTGTACAATACGAGAATGGATATAGCACGTAGCAGCTGAACGTTCTTGTAAGAGCGAATAGCCACCCCCTTTTTATTGGTGCTATAAGAAGAATGGCCGCCATCAATCACGGCCAATGTGACAGATAGATGACAAGGTACGCGAGTGGTGACATTATCATGACACGAAAATTACCGGATGATGGAACACAAATTAAGGTAAAATGAGACAGGATTATCAAGAAAAGTTTTCTTTTGTTCGTTAAATTTATAGACGGTCTCGGTCTCCTCGAGATGGATCGATAACTGCAAGCTACTTAAGCCTGAAATCAAGCATAGTTACCCCACAAACTCTTGACAGATACGAAATGCCTATCTACAACGCTATTATGCTGACCGACCGGAAAGCTTCCTCTGTGTATATTCCTAGTATGATTACGCCAAATTCACCCAAATTTCCGCCCACAGACCCACCTATCCCTGGTAGTGGAGGAGGCGCGAGACGTCGATGACGTCACCGCCGGCTCGTAGCGCGACCGAAAGCTGGACGCCCCATAGTTCTGGAACACAAACAAAACATTCGCCGTTAGGTAGCCCGAGAAACGGTGGCCGTTAGCCAAAGATAACTCGGCCTCGTGCACATGGAGGGACCCCAAACACGCGCCCGGAGAGGTGTAATTTATCATACGTGTGGAGTGCTATGCGAGAAGGAAGGGGGTGGGAGAGAAAGATGAATGGATACGAGAGAGAGAGAGAGAGAGAGAGAGAGAGAGAGAGAGAGAGAGAGGGAGAGAGAGAGAGAGGGAGAGAGAGAGAGAGAGCACCGTGCTTTATCGGCTCAGAGAGGAGGAGGAGAGACAGCTAGACATGATGAACACTATACAGACAGACATATAGACAGTCTGACAAACCGACATATTGTATTGAAAGATAAACGTCTGTATGTTAGTAGGTATACCTACTAACATACAGACGTTTATCTTTCAATACAATACCAAAGCACGTTCATCAAAATGTGACGATAGTTATGTGATAGCATTGATATTCGACCCCATAAAGACGGGCCATCCCCAGAGGCACGTGCCCTGCACTGAACTGTAACCGCTGACCCAGAGGTGAACGCACTCCCAAGGTAACACCCGGACAGGTGCGAGCCTCTGTGATCTGTGCGCGAGTCAGAAACCCAGTCTGGTGGTATAGTTTTCCAACCACGCACTTTCAGGAATTGATCTTACAAGACGGTACGACAGAGGCTGTCGGATTGAACGTTTTATGATCGGGAGAAAGGCTTCTTTAAGGAGGGTGAACATTTATGAACAACTATCATCGTGCGAGCGCATTACCTCTTTCTTTAGTCATCGGGAAGTAAGCGATTCGGAAAGGAGCTATGTCATCCTTGGAAAGGAAATGTGTTCGGTGAATTGTTTATTTTAGGCATAATAGGCAAAAATCAAGATAAATATAAAACGAGTCCAATAGTTCGGGATATTTCAGGCCTTATTTTTCACTTTATTTTTCCATTCAATTTTGTTTATTCCTGCTGCTCTGCGTTTTTCCATCACACCGAGCTGCCGAGGTCCGACCTACCCTCCCCCAGCCCGGCTCAGCCTGAGGGCAGGTCAGGCAGCGCCGGGGGCCCCCGAGGTCACTGGCGCCATTGTGTCGGGGTCATACGTGCGCCCGACACCCGACACCGGCGCCAACCGACGGAGGTCGACACTGACATCAACACGTTTCCGACTCCGCGGCGCCGGCCTCTGTGCCCCAGCTCCGCACAGTTGAGTATTTTCGGAGCCACTACCGGTAGGCCGGACGGCGACCGTCTCTCCGCAGCCGCCGACGCTCGTCGTCGTCGTCGTCGTCGTCGCTCGCCGTTCCTCGGCGGCCGAGTCGTCGCTCGTCGTCGGTGGACCGCCGTCGCCGGCGTCGCCGCATACTTGGCACGACGGTCGCTTCCCGGCGGCGGGGCGGCCGGGCCTCTCCGCCGTGCCGGCGCTCACTCAGGCTGCCGAGACGACACGGCACTGGGCGCACCTAGATGTACGTCCTCACTGCACGTATATCGCGGGAGGTAGCATACATTACGCACATCCTGCGCGCCGACGACACAGTGCGTTGACGGTAAAGCGTCCGAGACAAGCGCGAGTTGGGTCCTCGTTTTAAACGGCGTGGTCGTCTCAAATGGCGTGTGCCGTATCGCGTGAATTAATGTGCAACGCATGATGTGTTAGTGGCGGCACTGCAGCCCACGGTGCCAAGAGGAATGTTTATTGCAGGACTAGGAGTGCACGGTATCACAGCTCAGTGTCAGGAATTTTTGCAGCTAGCTATGATTTGAGCTCTCAGCTGATGATAAACTTATCAAACCGCCATGAGGACTCTCATAAACTTATTTCTAATGAATGTAAACACACGTGTTGATGTAACTTCAAACGCACCGCACTCTCCAGACAAAATATGCGGTTATTAATGTGCTGGATCCCGCCGCCAACGGAAGTGGCGAGCACTTGCTGCCACCGGTGGGCGGCTGCTCAAACAATCAGACCGTGACTGTGTGGGGCGCCGTACAAACACAGGTGCGCCGCCGAGACGGCTGCTCCTCTCTGCCGCCTGTTCTGAAAGGTAGGCAGAGAGAGGAGAGAAAGAGAGAGAAAGAGAGAGAGTGAGAAAGAGAGAGAGAGAGAGAGAGAGAGAGAGAGAGAGAGAGAGAGAGAGAGAGAGAGAGAGAGAGAGAGAGAGAGAGAGAGAGAGAGAGAGAATGAGAGAGTGAGAGAGTGTGAGTGAGAGTGAGACAGAGAGAAATAGAATTGAAGTGATTAATTTCCAGATTTTAGCAACGGTTGCGTGAGAGTGGAGTGCCCCTAAAGACTAAGGTTCACATTCTCTGTGACCCATAATGCAAACTCGGCGTCACCTGCGCCGGTGTAGTCTTCGCAAAGCCACCGCTCGCCGGTCGGTGTTAACACGTGGGTGCCGGGGCTGACAGACGCCGGTCCCCCCTCTACCGATGGGGGGGGGCGGGCCCGGTGCCAACCACCGCTGGCAGACGGCTGCGGATGTGCCGATCGTAGGCGCACCGGTCCGTGCGCAGGCGCCACCTCTCGCGGCGCGTTCAATGGGTCACGCGGCCGGATCACAGGAGAGCCGTATGATGTGGGGCAGTTACGCCATATCCCAGCTGATTCACAGTGAGCTGCATTGTAGTTTCGATGAAGAATGACGCGAGACTCCAGCTAGCCATCCAGCGAGGACTGGCGTCACGTTGGAGTGACTAACTGCAGCTGGCGCCAATTAGGAGTTAATCCATCATCACCTTTGGGTCACCGGGCTCCTTGACGAATTAACGAGCGGCTGGGCGGAGAGGGGGCTCGTGCACAGCTGCGGTAGCAGTCTGACATTTGAGTGGCACGTCCATCAAGTGATAAGCGAAGACGCAATGCACTGAATAGAAAAATAGGAACGGAGGGAAAACGGAAAAGAATGAGGGCGTGTGCGCCCAACATATAAAAGCCAGGAAAGGCGGCGTGTTTGCATGAGCGATATGCGTTGGACACGAAGCCCCGGTGAAGCTAGTTCACCTGCACGGCAGATCAGCTGTACCCAGCCTCAAAGGCGGCCCAGTGGGACAGCAATAGGATAGAACGACGGTAAGCACGACGTCACGGCAGCACTTACCGAGGAGAGCGGAGTCCTCCCAGAAGACGTCGAGCTGCCGTAGCTCCTGCTAGAAGAGCTGCTGTAACTCGAGGGAGACGTTGCCTGGAAACGAAAGTATTCTGTTAGACAGCACTGGCAGGCAGCGTATTCAGCCAGTCAGTCATTTCAGGACTGACTGACTGACTGACTGACTGACTGACTGACTGACTGACTGACTGACAGACTGACAATCGAGGAGACAGACGGGCAGGTGGGAGGCCTGGCAATGACTCATCTTCTGGCGACGGTATGAGAGGTGTCGGAGAATGAGTTAGGGTGGACGGACATGATTCGTTTCGACCCAGAGGCATTGTGGAGGGTGTTTGATAGACAAAATGGGCGATGTCAACGATAACAGCCACAACAGAGTATCTGAGAACGGACTTGCCTTCGTGTTGGACCGAGATACAGTTATTTTAATTCGGTCTTAGTGTCAACGGTAAGTAATGGCTCACATGATTCGAACCTTTGACGTCATGGGTCAGGTGGTTGTAGCCCATGACGTCATGGGTCAGCGATCCGGGTCGCCACTGGCCGGTCAGCGACGCGGGGGCGGGAGCGGGTCACCCTTCTGTCCCAAAATACCCGCCAGCGCCGGCGGCGGTGGCCGGCCGGAGGACCACGGACTGTGGCGCCGGGTCGCGGGCCGGCTGACCTGGTTCTGAGCCCACTGCCGCGCCGACGGGACCGTAGAGACCGACGGCCGGTGTGCCCGCCAAGGGTCAGGTCGAGCCGCCGTGAGGCAATACGTACAGACCACGCCGTCTGTGACCCTTTCGTGACCTAGCTAACTAGTTAGTGACCCTGCCTGACACGTCCCTGATCGTGATTGACTCGATCGTGACCCCGAGCGCCCCATTTCGTAATTATTACCGGCAATAGAGAGAACGGTTAATGAATTATTACACCACACACAAACAGCCGACTATGTACACAGGGAAGGCCCATGACCAATTGAGTTGGGTAAGAGCTCCCGAGAAGATAGGGGGGGGGGGGGGTGTCACAATCACTACTTGGTAATGACAAGGATTTTCAACGAATCTCAGCACGAATACGCGGCAATAACGCTAAGATTTCGAACAACACGCCACAAACGTGTTTCCTCCAGACAGCCACCACGTCGTGGCTATTTCCGATAGCTCGTCGACCTGTTTAGGAGACTGGGGCAGCTTGTGTTGGCTGCGCCGACAAGGAATGATGGGGTCATTTCACAAACCCTCCCCCTCGTCTGACAGCGTGGGATCAAACCAGGCGCGTGGGCGCCGACAGAGGTTCATGGGGGTGTTCATCACGCGCTCTGGCTCCGCAGGAGTAGCGACCGTCCGGACCAGTCCAGGGGCTAAAAGACCATTTTTATTTTTTTTTCTCATACCATGCCTTATTTATGTAAGCACCTGGGACATGATACATACAACTTTTAGAAGTCCTGGATTGTGCAATTCAGAAATCAAATTTGCTCCATTACAAAGGTCTTCAGACCATAACTTGGCTTATCTCTTAGGCACAGCCAAAAGAGAGAGAGAGAGAGAGAGAGAGAGAGAGAGAGAGAGAGAGAGAGAGAGAGAGAGAGAGAGAGAGAGAGAGAGAGAGAGAGAGAGAGAGAGAGAGAGAGAGCGCGAGAGAGAGAGAGAGAGAGAGAGAGAGAGAGAGAGAGAGAGAGAGAGAGAGAGAGAGAGAGAGAGAGAGAGAGAGAGAGAGAGAGAGAGAGAGAGAGAGAGAGAGAGAGAGAGAGAGAGAGAGAGAGAGAGAGAGAGAGAGAGAGAGGTAAGTGGGTGACTGAGGCTAAGTGGGAGCACTGGGGAAGGGCCTGTCCCGTAGCTCAGTTGGTAGAGCATTGGACTCCCGGTAGTGAGAGCCCGGGTTCGAGACGCTAACGGCGCTCAATATTTGAGACTCCTGACAGGGATGGTCTGCGGTTGGTGGGAGCAGCCGCAGCCAGTTGAAGTCAGTTGAGTGCGGCAGGCCGTGTCCGGCTTTGAAGGGCACGTTAAACTTTGGCATCTAAATTCTCCCGATACCCGGAATTGCGCGATCGCACGGTAGGGGTCGGGGTCTACGCAACAAGCTCTGCTTAGCGTGGGCTCCGGCTCTGTCAATCCGTCTATTCAAACATTCGAGCGAAATTTATATAAAAAACAATTCCGTCGCCCAACAGTTATGGCGAGAGGCGAAGCATTAGAAATCATTCAAAATCAAATCAGTCAACCCGATACTAATCACAGCCGCAGGTTCAACCGTCGCCGCTGTCGAGAGCACAGGTCACCGACCTCCGTCAGTTCAGTTCAGTTCGTTCGCCTCGCGCCGGCCGGCCGGCCATCCGCCGCCCATTCCACACATTGTCTGCACGTCAGTCCGGCGCCACCGGCCGGCAACTCAGCGTCGCTTCTGTCGATCGCGTCATCGGTCTCGTCGATAGCGACGTCAGTGACGCGTCGAAGTCGACAGATCACTCTACCTGCTGATGGAGGCTCAGGCTCAAAATCAGGTGACGCGGGATGTGTCATCGAGAACACGAGAAGAATGGACGCTGAGCTTCGGTCCGGGGTGAGTGCGAAGGAAACTTAGGTATACCTACCTTAGGTACCTATACATATAACGATTGACAAAGGATAACATAGGTACCATGAGTACGAATGATTTATCATTAAATTGTTTTAAGTAGGAAGGAGTGAATTCAACTAGTAACAACGGACAGGTTAAAAAAACATCGCTTCTTCACTTCGTTCAGCATTGAATCCGATCCCTGCGAAGCTTTTCTATTGGCGAGCTATGCGGCACAGTATACTTGCAGGCGCCGACCGCTGCTGCCATCTATGTACAGGGAGCATTACTAGAAATGCATTGCGGTACAGCATAACTACCGGCGCTTGACTACTCCTGCCATCTATTGGCAAGATTGTCGGCGGGAAGAGGCGCACAGTTGTATGGCTTTTAGCTTGCCTTGTGAGCAATCTTCGTGAGTGGAAAAGCAAAGGAGCTGGCAGCATTTAGTGCACTAGTGACACGTTGGTAGCAAAACCATTGATTCACCGCACTACAGGCAAGCCCGGGTGTGGGGATAATAACATTATTCATAAAATACTGATGCCAAAATCAAGAGCGACATAACGATTCGATAAAATGAGTGAATCACTCTTCCTCGAACCAAGCGGTAGCTCATTTTTGTGACGCACATGAGCACATGAGGCAAATAATATAACAGAGCATGCACAGGGAATGAACACATCATACATATGTTGTAAGGACAGCCCTATCCATCAGCTGAAGTCCAGTCTGGGAAGGCAGCGGAGTGGCTAGCGCGTCACTGTTGGAGCTGGGGCCGGTATTCGCTGGCGCCCTGCCCATCCACCACGTCACTGCCTACACAGTGGCCCACTCTCAGCCGGCGCCGGGAGACCCCGAGTGAAAAGTGTGCGCGCCCGCCGGCCGCGACCGGGGCGAGCTAAGACGCTGATGGATAATGAAAATGCTCACTCAAAGTCGATGTAGATCGATTTATCTTGACTTGGTCGGCTCTGAAAGTTTATCAACGTATCGCGAGTCTTTCGAGTAAAAATTTGGCAAAAAGAATATGAAAGTTTAACCACGAATAGACGGCAACCTCACTTGTAACACGGTCAAATTTTAAGCGCAGGAAGATGAAAAAAATCCAGTCAATGCAAGCCTGGGACTAAGTTCCATAGGCAATATCGGTCCTAAATGCAAACAAGTAGGGACAAGACTGTGAAATAACCCAGTCATTCCTTGTCGATGGAACGAATATCACTACCTCTCAGAATCATAAATTAAAAGCCAATTTGTACTACATTTTGTGGCTTGTCGGAAGCCTTGATCTTCCTGCAGGAGCCCATTAAACTAGCGCTCACACTTTTTAAGCCTTTCAGTGCACATGTGTTACAAGTCTGTCAAGGATCCATACCCTCTAGTCTCCTACGCACAACACTTTTCACGCCGGTCTTTATCCGTGAGTGACGCTGTCACAACACGCTATACGCTGTCACAGACACACGTATGACCGAGTCTCAGAGCAGATTAAATTCATCGACTACTATGGGAAATAACGACAGTTTACCTTGCGGGATCTCTTTTTTTTTAATTTGTCATAATTGATGAAATGATTGCTTTGGACCCTTATCGAGTCCGTTCTTCTACGGCAGCTCACTTAGGCGACCAAATTGCTAGCGATTATTGAAGAATGCGATAAAATTGGGAATAAGTTGCGAATAATGGAGGGTGGTCACTGGTCAATCTTGGAAGATAGACTGATGGTGTGTTTGTGTGTTTGGGTTTGGGTTTATGTTTCGCTAAATGCCGGGCCATCGTCGCTCCGTTGAAAGCGTCATAACAAATCGAGCTGTGTAAATAATTGAGCTGAAATTGCGATGAGAAGGAAAACCGTTTTGCCCGTATGAAAACAGCACAATACTCGTAGCTTTAAATAGACAGAAGAATATAAAAAACAATGATGCTATTGAGCCTGTTAACGTCCCACCTGTTCATCAAAGAGGTCCAGCATGCCAAACTATTCCATTCAGTACAAAACACCGGGTAGGTAACTAGGTATTGATGGTCCAACATGAAGCTCAATACCACCGTAGTTTCATTGAGCCATGCCAAAGTAAGCAGCTCCTATACGAAAATATCCCGATTATTGAGAAATAGTAGCCGAGCAGTGGGGGCAATAGTTTGATGTGCACTTCAGGCTGGCGTTTACGCAAACATACGCCTCCGATTGGGCCAGATTCGCGGTAAATAAACCGACAGTTTTCGCAGAATTGACGTCAGGCAGACAAAGGCTGGATCGGAAATCCGAGAAGGTAACCCAAGTGACCCCAACTCTACGAGATGGCACCGACACTCCCACCGCTCATGACCTATCATCTAAAACACATCACAACCACGCTGACCGGAAGAAATTCGTCCATACAGCGACCTACTTCACTCGGCCCCTTGGGGACGGCCAGCCCCGTCTAACACTCACGTATCGGCTCCTGTACGAAGACATGCCGCGGGCAGGTCACCCGGCTCGTCGGCCGACAGTAGCGCGGTCACTGGTCGGCGGCGGACATGGCGCACGGGCGGCGCACGGCGCGACGGCCACTGGCGGCCGCTGTCACCGCCGCCGCCGCCGCCGCCGCCGCCGGGCCGCCGCTCGCTAAAAGTAGCGCCCAGCGTCGGGGTCGAGCTGGCACCGGCACCGACATTCCGGCTTATGGCAGAACCGGCGAACGGGGATCGGTCCGCGATCGGCGAGCGGGTGCGACGGCGCGGGCCGTGGGGCGCATCTCACACATGGGGTACTTTCTCATCTGTCTCCTAGTCTGCATTAGAGGGGTGCCTGACGTAATGGCACACGCGCAGCAGGCAGCCTTGGCCCAAGGTAATGATAACACCCGTTAGAGGAGCACTAAGCCAGCACCCACCACCTCCACCTAATGTCTAGGAGTGGGCAGTGGCATTAGCAGCTGGGATCACTTGCCGACGAATAGGGCACACAGACGCTGCAGACGACGGGCCCTGTTCAGCTCCCAGTCTACCCGCCTATAGCGCGGCGTTCCACTTCCGTATGGCGGAAAACTCCCACCCTAGCGACCAAACTCCCTCGGCTCGCGGGTCCCAGCGGAACAGACGCTTTGTCGGCGGACGCAGGGGATAACATTTGGTGCTGGATCAGTTATTATGACAGTGCGCCGCCCGGTGACTTTGTTATGGTTGTGATCTGATTTGGGACACTACTGAAACAACGGGGTCAAAGCCAGGTGATTGACCTGGATAGGGAACACCTGAGGTTAGTTAAAGAAGCTCTGAACTACCTGACCTGACCTGAGGTCATGGCCTGGCAAATAGCACGGCTGGTGAAAGAAACTGCATAAGTTTTACGCCTACAGCCTTGCATAATCATAATTATTTAATGTATTAATATTAACCTATGCATTGTGGATGTCACCCTCACAATTAGAGCGCATTTTCCATTCAAGGGTGATTTCAGAGCAGAAGTTGAGAAGTTGATTTTTGGTCACAAGAAGGTAAGCGTCATCGTCAAGCGATTTTAGCGTAATGTACCTACGATTCGTCAACGGACCATGCTTTGGTAATTGGTAGCCATGACCATTTGACCATTTACCTATACCTACATAGAGGTCAATGGCCATCATCAAGGTTTGTCATAGCCGTGCACTCACTCAGCTGCACCACAAGACACAATCGCATCACAATCCATATGTAGCATGAGATGAGAGCTTCAGCCTTCATTTCGAGTCGGGAAAACTTTTCATCCTCGGGCCATGATAAATGAAAATGCCAATCAAACGATTCACTTTGAGCTCAGCAATCCTGACCTATCTTGGCGGAGGTGTGTGGTTTCATAACTGGCAAGAGTCACCGAAGAGGCATGGCACCTATCGTCATTCGTCCCTCATATCAGTTACGTATTTTTTTTATTTACCATCGTACGACCATCGTGCATCATATCAATGCGTACATTTTCCCTACCATCGTACCACCATCGCAATCGCCCATCACATCAATTTACGCCTACATTGAACAATGAACATCCTATTTGATCTCCCGGTGCAAAATACCTACTCCGCTCCAACTCACCTTCTCATCTGTCGTCTCTCTTGATGACGTTTTCTTCTGCGTCTGTCGTTTCTTTTCCGGGCTAGATTTGCGTCTCGTTCCGTTCTGTGGTCTCTTCCTACCCTGAGGGGGTTTGGCCGGCGCCTGCGCCGACCTCACGGTTTGCTGAGCCGGGGTCGGCATCACGACACCGTCCCGGTCACTTCCCGCGACCTTAGCCGCGCACCGCCCGAGGCACTTTGCCCGGACCGGTTCCGCTTCCATGCGCAAACTGGAACGCTCCAGCGACGTTGCCAGCAGGTTCTCAACTCCGGGCCGGCCGGCCGGCTGATAGCACGCGCGGTGGGCGCGGTGGGAATAAGTTTGAGAGCCCCGCACGCAGCCTGTTCGGTTTGGGGCCGCCGCGATTGCCGCGGGTCAAACGCCTCGGGCGTGAGACTGGGGAGGGAGGCCCGGAGGGGAAGTCGGAACTCGGAAGTGGGGGGGGGGGGGGGCTTGGAAGTTACAAATGAAAATCATTGAACGTGGATCATGCATACATCGGTAGTGTTGAAATGTCGGAAGTGGTGGGCATAGAAATAAGAAACGGGTTCGGAACGAATTACCAATACCGTGTTTTTTGTTTATTATTGACATTTCTTATCTGAATGAGTCACCCCGAAAGCAGTTTAAAAATTTCTTTGAGCAGATAAATGACAAGGGCAGTAGAAGATAATGATACGGAGATAAGCAGCACGAATTGTATGGGTTTAGTATGTAAAAGTAGACACCATTATACCTATACTGCATGTGCATATGTATTACATCAAGTGATCAAGATATCCTTCCAGGCGGTGGGGGGGGGCATTTTTTTGCCCCCCCCCCCTTTAGTTTTTTCAATATATCTCGAGAACCGCTGCGCCGATCGTCACCAAACTTTCAGTACCCTCCCGGGAGCAGCTAGCGCACATGGTGACCAAAATTTTTTCCAAAGGCTATGATAGGTTGGCCGCTAATGACGTCAGAGTGGCGTCATTTTTGCCATTTTCGACCCAAAAAAAGGTTTCGCGGGAAGAGCTGTCAGGCCTACAGCTTTAGAGATACAGAAAAATTTTCAGACATAAAAGGTGTGGAATCAAAAGGGCTACAAAACTGCAATTTCGGTTTTTCGATTTTTTTTTATTTGGCCCCCAAAAATCAAAAAATAGATTTTTTGAATATAATAGCCCAAAAATCCAAAAAGTTTTTTGAATTTCGAAAAAACCGAAATATATGTGATAGTCCCTACCGCCTTCTATCTCCATACCAAATTTGAGATCGATACCTCTTTTTTTGGCCAAGTTATAGCGAAAAAACTGTTGAAAATTGATGACCTCAAATTTTCAAACTCAATTGTTAGCAATTCTAGACCTTGTAGCGCAAAACAAAGACCACCATTAGACTCCCCGTGACGAGCTGCATCGAATCGATACCCATTTTAGGTATGCAAAAATATCAACTTTGAAATTTGACCTTTTTTGACCTGACCTTGACCTGACCTCCACCAGAAAGTGACCTAAACCGTACCTGATGGTCTTATAACCAACACCATTGAGTTGGAAATGAAAAACTGGCCATAAAACATGCATCGCATAACCTTAGTAAAGTTGGGCTCATGTGGTGACCCTTGGTGACCTTTGGTGACCTGACCTGTGACCTGACCTGGTATGACCAGTGACCTCTAATAGCAACATATGTACTAGACAACTGACGCCTTATCGCTGATTTTCGACAAAATGCGTTTTACTCGGTGTTATAGCGCTTTCCCTAGAAGCCCCGTGAACGGTGAAACATTTGTAAGTAGGTATAATATTATTTAGTGGCCGAGAGCCGTGAAGGATGCACGGCTAAATCGTGTTCCCGGCTGTGGCGGGAAGCGGTCGCGCGTCGGCGCGCGAGCAGAGCAGAGCAGAGCGCTGGGCAGAGGGTGTGTGTGTGTTGTGTGTTCGGTCAAGCTGAGAACACAGGAATACAGAGACATGCAGTAAGACCGGAGGCTGTATCTGAAGACTGAGGTGTCTTACATTGGTGGCAGCGGTGGTTGTGGTTGCGAACCGGGTTGTGTTGGCCTCACACAGTCTTGGCCTGATAAATTGTTTGACACGGAACCGATCAGCTGCGAGCTGTTATATAAACATTTGATTTTTTCACGCCCCAAGTGATACGCAGTGATTAACGACGACGTCGTGATTATCTCAAGAGGAAATGGCTCACTTCGCGCCACCCAGGTATGACGGTCGGGGGTCATTTCGTCGTTTCCGAGAGGATTTTAAGAGTTTTTGTGCCGTGCAGTCGTTCACGGGTGAGGCGACTCTGAACTGTTTGCCGCTGTGTCTGGATGGAGCGGCCCGAGAGGCGTTCGACACGTTTGAGCGTCCTGCTGACGGCTCAATCGACACTCTGCTAGACCGTCTCGGAGCCGTGTTCCCGGACGCTAGCGCCTTGGACTGCCACAGCGCGCTGCAGGCGCTCAAATTCGACCCGACGGCTCAGTCACTGGACACCTTCATTGTTCAGCTGCGCGGCCTGGTCACTGCCGTGTTTGGCGCCCACTCGCCTGATACGCATCTCTATCACTATTTCCTGGCGATGGCGCCCGGTCCGAGCCCGCCCTCGACCAGGCGGAGGCTGGGCCGGCCGGATCGGACTCAGAGCGACCGGGGGTGCGTAAAGTGGGAGACGAGGCTGCAGAACCATCAGTGCTGGAGCAAATTCTGCGCCGCATTGCGCAGCTGGAGTTACAGCTGGCTGCTACTAACCGGATGGGACAGATGAGGCATGACCGGGCCCGGGGCCGACAGGAGTGTGACGTGTCAATGCCCATATGTCTGTGTTGTGGGGAGACGGGTCACGTGAAACCAGATTGTCGTTTCCGTCTAGCCAGGTGCTTTGCCTGTGGGAAGGTGGGCCATGTTCAGCGCACGTGCCGCCTCTCGGGAAACGCCGGAGGGGAGGGCGCTCAGGGCGGCGCGCGCGCTCCCCGGTCACTCGGCCGCCGGGACCGAGAGTTTTGAATAACTGCGCTGCATCGGCGTCGGACATTACGGTCAAGGCAAAGGTTAGTGAGGTGCCAGCGCAGCTTGTTGTGGATACAGGAAGTGCTATAACAATAGTTCACAGGCGGATTTATGATCAGATTTCAGCGCGTCCCCAGCTACAACGTTGTGACGTCACCGCTAAAACTGCAACTCAACAGCCGTTGCGTCTGCTCGGTCGGTGTGCAGTGCATTTTGTTATCGATAATGTGTCATACCCGCTCTCTGTGTTTGTATCCGACGAAATCGTTCCCATCCACTGCCTCCTGGGCATGGATTTTTTTGCGCAGTATCCGTTTGTTCTTGACTTATCGACGAAGCAGCTGACACCTGCAAACCAGGTGAACCGTCAGCCGGTCGCCACGGTGTTGCCTGAGCGACCGAAGACTCGTGTGTGCAGGGTGTCTGTACAGGAAACGTACGCTATACCCCCAAACTGTGAGGTTGTGAT